CATTCAGAGTGAGAAAACTGTAAGTTTTAGGCCTATGGAGGTATCGATATAGATAAGCGTCATGAGAGGCTGAAAAATCTTGGATTGAAAACTTTGGGACCGAAAGCTATGTCTGAAAAGGCAACAGTATCTTCAAAAGTTAGTTCAATTTCTTGTATTTGAGGACCTTTGACCTCATCCGATTTGATTTTTCATTGAAGGCGAAGACTGGAGAAAATATCCCAGCGGACAAGGGTTCAATCACAGAAGTGAATCGTAGGGAAGGAATCGATGAGTATCTGTTCGATGGTGATATGTTGCTTACTGAGTACGTGAAATTCACTCCTTGTGCGCTGCTTATTTTTATTTTTCAGTAACTTCTTATCCACACTTTTGCATGGTCTCTTTGATGATCATGAACTTAAGAGGGCATCTTACTGCCCTTTTTTGTTGAAGCTGTTTCGCAACAACTTACGACACGAACTTAGCTCTTCATATTAGACGAGCTGTCTCGTAAGGGCGGGTGGCGGTACTTTCCCCGAATTCCCACGGCGAGTAGCAGTGAATCCGCAGCGAATACCGTATCCTTCCACCGGGAGTTCGACCCACCCCCATCGAAGCGCTCGACCGCGCGCAATGGGCTGCAGAGGCGACGCGATTTTCCTCATTCTCGTAAGGGCAATCTGCAACAGATGCGCTTTGTCAAAAGGTGACCTCAAGCTCGGCGATTAACCCTTCTCCGAATTAACCACTCTATTGAGATGCTGTATCACATTCAGTAAAGATTAGGGAAGGAAATGCCGTAGTGTACAAGTTGTCCCATAACTATGGGCGTCAAGCTTCAAAACATCTTAGGCCGAGGTAATTATTCAATTTCGTTTCATCTCTATATTTAGTTGCACAAGTTGGTTTTCTTGCTGTATGCACAGTTACTAAAATGGGGAAAGCTAATCCAGGTGCCACTCGAAATCGTTCGTATGTAAGGTACGGACACGGAAGAANAGAGTAAACTCTCTTGTGATTCTAGTAACGACTCATACAAAAAGCTACCTAACGATACAAGGTAACAGGGTCAATCAAAGTCTGCCGAAAGAGGTAGTGAAGCCAATCTTCCAAATATTAGAACCATTAAAATATTACGTTTGAGAGCCAATCTTTACGACCAATCGAAAGGAGAGCAAAGGATCATGACTTTCCAAAGCTGTTGAGATCAGATCGGCAAGGAAAAGCTTCATTGCCGTTCCTACGTATGTGTGAATGCCACTTTATTCGCGATCTCTACAGATGGTGTAGAGTTGATTGAGTTGAAGTATGCAAAAAGTTCAGCGCTCAATCCATAACTCACTTAAGCGCTAATACACATCTCATTTTCTCTGACGTGAAAAACTTCGTGACAAAGTCAATCCACAACGTATGAAACTATCGCGTCCTAGGCAGAAACATTGAAAGTGCAATCTCACACGAGGAAAGTTGCTATAAGAACAGCAGAACGATGTTTGTTGAGGAAGTCCTGGCCGAGACGCCGTTGGTTGGATCGATACCGGCATGAAAATTGACAAAGACTTGTGCTTAGAAAACATGTCCATAGACGTACTGTATCATTGATCTGACTCCTCTTCCTGAAACAACCGGGGATACGGTACTCCAACCCACAGGGCCAAACTCGGTCAAAGGCGGTGCTGGCGCGAGCTGTCCGACTTCAACAACATGGAGGAATGGCCTTCCACATTGACCCCTCCGTATTATTGCCCGATTAGAAGAGAACCTGCAACCCTAGTTTGGAGCTCTTCATCGAAGTAATGCTCAAGAATGGCAGGGATGAAGTGCAGGAGGGATATTCGCGTGCAAGGTGCGAGGAGATCGAGAGGAGACTATCTAGAGGTAATGTAAGCAAACGCTCATATAAATTACATTGTCGTTCTCAACTTAGAAGCTTATAATACATTGCAATAGCGCTCATAATTTTGGGACACCCTGTAGATCTGATCAGGATGTATCGCACTTTCCAAGTTCTTTCTTGCGTCTCGAGAAGTGCTGATCAGTTCTAAAAATATTTCTTTTTACCCTAAAACTTATTCTAAAAGATTTAGCGAACAGCTTGCTGCATTTGAGAACGATCTGGGAGATCAAACTCGACAGAAGCGTCAAATCGCCACATACGCCAAACCCTGGCCGAACAAGAAACTTTTCTACTATTTTGATGACACTATAAGTAGGTGCAGCTGAAAGCATTGCTCAATACCTGCTCATCAATTAATTAAGTTGAGTTACTTTCAGCCGCTGAAAATCAAGCGTACGTAAGAAAACAGCTCAAATATCTCAGTGATCGAACTTGTATCACTTTCGTGGAGAATGCCACTGCAACCAATCGTGTAAAGGTGATCGATGGCACAGGATGTTTTGGAGCGGTGGGAATGATAGGAGGCGAACAGACGCTGTCTTTGGCTAATGGATGCTTCATCGTAAGTCATGCACACACGAAAAATATGTGCTGCATAAATTTTACATGTATTTCTGTAAAAAAAATCTTTAAAGGTAGGGACTGTGGCTCACGAATTCATGCACGCTCTTGGTGCAGTGCACATGCATGCGCGACATGATAGGGACAAGTATATTAGAGTCAGCTTGACAAATGTGCCTGTAGGTCCTTTTTTACATCCTTTTTTCGCTGCTTTTTTCAGATTCTAGAGAAGAATTCAATAACTGGTGAATCGTAGTTTCTCGCATCTTCGAAGGGTACAGTACGGTAGCCGCACCAGGTGGGCTTGAAGTGGAAGCTTCACCGACTGCCAATTGTATTTCTGTAAACCTAATCTGGCACGATCCGGCAAAAGCAGACATCTTAATAGGCTGGAGATATTGAATGCGTAAGTTGTAGCGCACTCTATCTACAACCTTAATTCTGAAATGACCTTCGGGTGGACCGCTCTGACCGAGCCTTTCGCTATTTCGACGTAATTTTATCAATGACTCTGATAAAAGCGTACGTGCTTGAAAGTACGGAACGCCACATCAGTCTTTCTCCTTTGAGCATCCTGTTTTGGCCTTGGCACTTTTGCAGCCACTCCCGAGCAGTCTTACACATTGCTGCTGCATTAAGTGCTCCCTCAGCTTCCGAGAGTGGGGCCTATTCATGTTACAATTGTGGTACATGGTTACCCGCGAGTCGGTTACCAATCACTGACATGGGGCGGACTCCGTATCACCAACCAAGCTGGAGTGTGCTGGGCGACTATTCGAGGTTGGATTTACGGATCGTGCGATTATCGTGCTGCGCTACTGCACCATTCTTGCTCCTTCAAGGAAAATAAACGTCATAACGTCTTTCCTTTTCAAAGGAAATCTCAACTATATTTTAGGTCCATAGGCCAAGCCTAATATCAATTGGCTATTACCTGCTTTCAAACGATAGTAACGTCACGGTGTTTCAGGCCGAAAAAGTGCAAAACCTGAATAAGGAAAACAACACAATAATCTACACTCCATATGAATACGGCAGTGTCATGCAATATCCAAGCAGCGCGTTCGTAATTCAGTTGTTGAACCTATTTTTTGATCGTTTATACTTTTTTCAAGGACACAAAGATCTGATCGAATTGTGTTCAGATTCGCCACAAGTGGACATTCGATGGTACCGCTCACTGCAGGCTATGCCCGCACGATGGGAGCGTAAGCTATCTCATTCTACGATATCAGAATGATGAATTGGTTCTACAAATGCAACGGCGAGTCAAGAGCGATGATTTAAACAACAATTCTGCAATAATCATAGGAAGTTTTAAAACGAAGCCCTTTAGTTCACATCAATCTCATACATTGATGAATTCCAGGTTGCAAACGATATATATATAATATATATTTATCTATTTACATTAGTTTGAGTAGTAGTAGTAGTTTTTAATCAGTATTCATCCCTTTCTAGGTTTTTCCCGGAGG